CACACACACGCACGCACGCACGCACGCACACACACACACACACACACACACACACACACACACGCACACGCACACACACACTTCCTCTTGTTTCTCTTGGTGTGACTCTGAGGTCTGGGTTGTTGTGACAACAGAGGACACGGGTCGCCCAGCGCTCTGGTTGCAAAGGTTGCTCTGCTAAGAGCGCGTCGCAGAGCGCTGCACGACGAGGCCTTGCATCCCCCCCCCCTCCACCCACACCTTGTCACACGCATTCAGGCGCGCCGAGTTCTCAGAAATGTCACTGAAGACAGGAAACCTTCCTGTAACCTGCTGAGCTGTGATCTTATCTGAAGCTCATCTCTGTGCAGAACCACGAGCGGCTCCAGCCTTTCTCCAGAGTCCGTAAAGTTCCCGCTGAGAGACTTTCAATGAAGCTTCTTCGTCAGGTGATTCTGTCTGTTAGCAAAATATCTGACCAGACAGATTTGAATGAAACAGTTTATTTGCTTTTAAAGATTAAACAGATCATTTCAAGGCTCTGCTGCAAACTTTTCAATCAAAAGATCAATTCTTGCTTTAATCACTACTTAAAACACCTCAAAATGTATTTAAAACTTCAAATAAAGAGAATTCAGTAGTTGTTTATAACTACTTCACAGTGGTGGGCACAGCTCCGCTAAAGCAGAGGTTCTCAAACTGGGGTCCCAGGACCCCCAGGGGTCCGCCAGTTGTATCTTGGGTGTCCTCAAAGATTTTCAATTAATTGTTCATTTGATTTTTATTCAAAAAAATGCATATGGGGAACAATACACTAGTGAAACAAACACACATAACCAAACAAAGAGATAATCTTCTCATGGCATTTAGGAGGTAAAATTTTCACCTTGGTAAGGGATAATCAGACCCAAAACATTTGAGAACCCATAAAGTGTCCTAAAGCACTAATAGGGGAACTCATTTCTTGATTAGTGCTTTAGGGTTTTTGCTATTTTTTGAAATAATTAGTGGATTAGCACTTGCTAAATTTAGAAGCACTAACTGAGGTCTTTAAATGTTGTTGATCAACATTATTGTTCACAGTTGAGGGTGAAAGCTGTCACACATTTTGTTCACATGTGTGTTACTTATCTACAAGGTTATGTGTCAAATTCAAGGCCCGCGGGCCAAATTTGGCCTGCGGGTGACTCCCATTTGGCCCGGCATGGGCACTAAGTGACAACGTTCTGCACACAGTAAATATCCTCTCATGTTGACTCTGAAGAATGTTTTATGTGTCAACTGGATTATATTAGAGCTTTAAGATTAGCTTTTGCTAATGTTTTCAGTGCGTTAATATTTAGATTAGTGCTGCCCACCACTGCTACTTCATATAAAAGCTAATTCAGTTTGTGACTTTATGAAATTAAAGTTCAGTTTTTTATCGTTTTGCTCCTTATGATGAAATCTAAACACAGCAGGTTCATGTGATGCTTTTATAAATCAGATATACACTCACCGGCCACTTTATTAGGTACACCACGCTAGTAACGGKTTGGACCCCCTTTTGCCTTCAGAACTGCCTCAATTCTTCGTGGCATAGATTCAACAAGGTGCTGGAAGCATTCCTCAGAGATTTTGGTCCATATTGACATGATGGCATCACACAGTTGCCGCAGATTTGTCGGCTGCACATCCATGATGCGAATCTCCCTTTCCACCACATCCCAAAGAAGCTCTATTGGATTGAGATCTGGTGACTGTGGAGGCCATTTGAGTACAGTGAACTCATTGTCATGTTCAAGAAACCAGTCTGAGATGATTCCAGCTTTATGACATGGCGCATTATCCTGCTGAAAGTAGCCATCAGATGTTGGGTWCATTGTGGTCATAAAGGGATAGACATGGTCAGCAACAACACTCAGGTAGGCTGTGGCGTTGCAACGATGCTCAATTGGTACCAAGGGGCCCAAAGAGTGCCAAGAAAAGATTCCCCACACCATGACACCACCACCACCAGCCTGAACCGTTGATACAAGGCAGGATGGGTCCATGCTTTCATGTTGTTGACGCCAAATTCTGACCCTACCATCCGAATGTCGCAGCAGAAATCGAGACTCATCAGACCAAGCAACGTTTTTCCAATCTTCTCTTGTCCAATTTYGATGAGCTTGTGCAAATTGTAGCCTCAGTTTCCTGTTCTTAGCTGAAAGGAGTGGCACCCGGTGTGGTCTTCTGCTGCTGAAGCCCATCTGCCTCAAAGTTCGACGTACTGTGCGTTCAGAGATGCTCTTCTGCCTACCTCGGTTGTAACGGGTGGTTATTTGAGTCACTGTTGCCTTTCTATCAGCTCGAACCAGTCTGCCCATTCTCCTCTGACCTCTGGCATCAACAAGGCATTTCCGCCCACAGGACTGCCGCTCACTGGATGTTTTTTCTTTTTCGGACCATTCTCTGTAAACCCTAGAGATGGTTGTGCGTGAAAATCCCAGTAGATCAGCAGTTTCTGAAATACTCAGACCAGCCCTTCTGGCACCAACAACCATGCCACGCTCAAAGGCACTCAAATCACCTTTCTTCCCCATACTGATGCTCGGTTTGAACTGCAGGAGATTGTCTTGACCATGTCTACATGCCTAAATGCACTGAGTTGCCGCCATGTGATTGGCTGATTAGAAATTAAGTGTTAACGAGCAGTTGGACAGGTGTACCTAATAAAGTGGCCGGTGAGTGTAGTGATCAAAGGTGAAGATAAAATCAGGCCAATTTGTTGGATTTTTAATCAGAGATTTCAAACTTTACTTAAAATTTGTACCAGACAAGCTCTTGGTCAGAAAGAATCTCTTTGCATTTTATTGTTTGTTGTTGCGGTTATGAATTTAAATCAGACTAATCTTTATGGTAGTTTTGGTCGCAGCTCAGTAGAGCCATTGAGGAAGTACCGACGGGCCACATGTGGCTCCAGAGCCGTGGGTTGCAGACCCCTAAAGAACATTAAATCAAACACGTAAAAACAAATCAACAGGTATAAAAACCTGCAGCAGGTTCATGACAAACAAAACAAAACAAAACAAGAAAATAAAGTAAAATTCTTTTATTTGACTCTAATAAACACGTTTAAGTTCAGCTAAAAAAAGGATGTGTGCACACATTTGTGTTCACTTCCTCCTTGTGTGTGCGTATGTGTGTACTGCTTTTTACTGCGGAGTGAGGACCATGTTAGCTTTTTAATCAATACAGTGAGGTCTTTGATGTAAAGTGAGGACCTCTTCATTGTCCTCACTTTGTTTGCAGCTCTGCTGTGCTTTACTAGTTCGGTTTAGAGGTTTGGTGTGGGTTAAGTTCAGGTTAGGGTTAACTATAGACCAGTGATGGTTAATTTTAGGGAAAATGTCTGGGTTAGGCATAAATACAATTACAACAATGAATGGAAGTCAATACAATGTCCTGAGTTTGATGCATATACAAGGATGAGTGTGTGTGTGTGTGTGTGTGTGTGTGTGTGTGTGTGTGTGTGACGCTCTTCCTGTGTGAACCACGTGGCTCAGACAGGGTTAATAAAAAGATCAGACTCACTTCTGGGTTTTTCTCTCTTCTCTGGAGTCCAAACGCTGGTAAGAACCCGACGACACGTTCAATAATCTGATCGTCTCTGCTTTAATCCCTTCCTTTTCAGATGAAATCATTTAATACGAACTTGATTTCCACAGAAGATTTTTATTTGTTTTTTTTAATCGATTTGTTATAAAACTGCTGTTGAGTTTGTGAGGACTTGTCTTTGCCCAACCTGTGACTCCTCGGCGTTTCGGCGGGAGACGAGCAGACGCTCCAGAAGTACAGTGTTGTCACCCATAAAGTAGAAAGCACTACTAAACTTCAGTACTCAGTGTAGTGTTTCCTACTTTATGGATGAGTATACTGTTGGCTGCAGAGGACAGAGGAGGAAGAAAACCAGCTCAACGTTTTTAATATTATGTAGGTTTGTTGTTAACGGTGCAAAACTAGAAAGCAGAATAAAAAGTGTAAAAAAGTTTTTACTTTACAAATCTCATTTTTATTACTTCCTACACAGAAAGTTATTAACATAAGGCATTAAGAAACTATATTTATACACTCTGGTCTGCATAAAACTGAGATTAAAAGTGTATTTTTAAGGCTAAAATCTTTTATTTTCATTCTCTGTTTAGTTTTTTGTGAGTCTGAATAAAATTCAGCTAACAAATAAAAACATTCATTTGTATTTTTGTGTTTTAAAATAATATAATTTGTGTTTTTACCATCATTTACGCACAAAATGTGATTTTCTTTCTTGAAACCTAATAAAGGGACGTATCTGACAAACTGCTTGATGTGAAATCCTTATTACACTATTTTATAAAAATAAAACACATTTTGAGCTGGTAGTTAATAAAAGCTGAAACTTGGCATTTGGTAGTTGTTTTTTTCTAATTCCAGGGTAACGGCTGCAGGAAGTTCGATGGAACCAAACCTCGTCGACCGTGAAGATCTCCCTGAAAGTAAATTTAACGTGAGCCTCTGTGAGAACCTGTTGTGTGTGTGTTTTTTTAAAATAAAACAAGAATAAAGACTCACGTAATAAAACCCGTCTGGGTCCATGTCACCCAACACGTAGATGATGTCTCCCGATCGGAAGCCGAGCTCAGCCTGCAGGACCACACAGTTCAGTGTTACTCTTGGTGTTTCTGAGTTTACAGAGTGTTAATTCGAGGTGCTTACGTCGCTGTCCGAGTTGGGCGAGCTTTCCCACGGGTCGTAGTCGAACAAGGCCACCATTCTCCGAACGACCACGTCATCAGGAACACTTCTCGTGTCGCTCAGACTCGAGCTTAACGACATCCCTGCTCCATAAAAACACGTTTCAAACACGAGTGTCAGGCACCTGCCTCAGGTGTTGTTCTGGTACCTGTGTGGTCCACAGGCAGGAAGCCCTGCTGCAAGAGAAGATGCTTCAGGTACTCGTCGTCCACCGGGATCTCAGCCACCATGTTGCTGGGCACGAAACCGGAGAGACCCCCGGACTCGCCGTGGTAGAAGCCATCAGCATCCGTGTCCCCGAACACCTGAGCAGAGGAGTTATTTTCATTTGTTATCGGCTTGTTTTCAGGCTCTGGAGGCAGAAGGAACAGGAATGTGCGTGCTTGCGTGCACGCTGCAGCAGGGTTCGGTGAAAAACAGGCGGTAAATCACATGAACGAGCAGCAACAGGAAACACAGACGAGCTGGTGTCACAGGAAGCAGCGTTTCAGAGAAGCCATCAGGAAACACAATAAGAGGTTTGTTACCTTGATGATCTGACCGGGCACAAAGGGCAGCTCCTCCGCAGCCGTCTCGTAGTTGGGGGACATGGCGGCGGGGTTGTAGGGGTAGAGGGCCACGAAGAGACGGACGGTGGGGATGGACGCCTGGCTGGCCGTCTCCAGCTCCCACTCCAGGAGGTCCTCCGGAGTGGCCACCCTCACCTCGTCTGGGAATATCAGAACGTCCAGCTCCAGCCTCATCTCCATGTCCAGCAGCTCCCGGGCGTCCAGGAGGCAGACAGATGGCCGCTGCGGGCGGCTGAACGCTCCTGATCTGCAGGCTAATTTCAGGTAACCAAGCTAAGCAGAAGGAGCTTTAATCCTCTTTAAAGCAGAGGAGACAGATTCGTCCGTTCAGCAAAGACTGAGCAGCGAGACACTGGCAAACAAAAAGAAAACAGAGTGAAATCATCAAATCATCAAGTTTTTATTTAACGCATCATGAAGCTGGAGGAACACAAACATAAATCAGGTGTTTTTTTTAGTCTTTAAAACTCAAACTACATGATTTGGTTGAAGCTGATCTTTTCTCTGACTCCTCCTCCTTTTCTTCGTCCTGACATGACTTGACCCAGTTTAAATCAACACTTCCTGTTTTGACCTCCTGTGTGTCAACAGGTGATAATCTGATCTGGGATCAGAGGAAACGTATCAACGGTTAGCTGAGCGTTCGTTTCAGACACAAACAAAGCTCGAGTTCAAGATGTGAAACCAGATCTGAACTGTTTTCAGGCCTGTTTTGTCACATTTCATTTAAAAAGTTGGTAAATTGATCCTCAGCTCTGTTACTCTAGATCTTTTGAAGTGAAGTTGTTTAGAAAGGCAATGAGCAGTTAATATCTTGTAATTTTAAATGTTCTCAGTTAGGAGTATAGTTCTGATAAAATAAACATGTAGTGTCACCAAACAGCAGGGTTATTTAACTAAACTGCTCCGGGGGCCACAGTTAAAGCAGGCCAACAGCTGAGGGGCTGAACATCCAGCAATTAAAGTCATTATAAGTATTAATAAATAAGTATTACAAAGATCTGTTACCTTTGAAATTGTTTATTTTGCTGCATTTAATCATGAATACAATACACAGAGAACCTTATGTAATAAATGTAGTGATAGTAAAACAATATCAAAACAAAAATAACACATTATGTCTCCTATTTAACACACATATTATTTGTACATCTCTGACTTGCCAATTTTTTTAAACCAAATGTATTTTTAATTTCATAGTTTTATCGTCAACTGCTTGTAGTTTTAGCTGTCTTGGATGTTCATAGAAACAGATTTTACCAGCTTCTAGCCAAGATTCTGACATTTCTGCAGATACCAAACATGTCTATGTTTAACTAAAAAACCTAGAGTAAGGGTTTGGGTTTAAGAGATGAATGAACCAACTGGCAGGCCAAACTATTGCCACTTACAATATGTGGCCCGCAGGCCGTCAGTTGAATAGCCCTGCCATACAGCATGGACCTATCCCTCAACTCTGCTGCTCAACCACAAATGCATTTTTAACTAATGTAAACTGGCTTTCCAACAATATTAGATTTATTGCCAAGAAGCACGATTACACCTAAGAAAATACACAAATTTTATTACTTTATTTGCTTTTTGTTTATATATATATTTGTGAGAGAAAGATGTAGTTTGTCACATCTAAATAAAATCTTGTTTATTTATACGTTTTTCTTTCAATTTTTTATTAATAAAATCTATGCTTTCATTAGTTTTTTGCTACTTGTTTACATATTTTAGTTGTTCATGGTAACTACAGCTCTTTACAACTGTGTTCAAAGGAGTAAATAAAGCTGGACATAGTCATTTTATTTTTTCTGGACCTTGTAGTTTAATTTTTAGCGGGTTTTAATAACAGATTAAAACTGGATCTTTAACCTCTACAGTCGTCTCTGTTTTGGCCAGCAGAGGGCGCTCTGAACAGTTACATGCTTGGAAAAGACAAACAAAATAACTGACCATAAACAAATGTTGTATTTGATACGGTCAGTTATTCAGAAGATTAATAATGAAAAGCTTCAGAAGGCAAATAAATAACAATCTTAAAGCTAAATATTGCAAACTGCTGTTTTTTTTAATTGTTGTTATGTAATCATGTCATCTTTCTCTTTTCTTTTCTTTTCTTTTCTTTTCTTTTCTTTTCTTTTCTTTTCTTTTCGAACACTTACTGGTCTGATTTTTAATGCTTTGTGTTTACACAGACAAATGAAAAAATCCTATTGGAGTAAATAACATTGTCTCTCTGTCTTTTTTTTTAATATCTGAAATTTAAAACTTACAAACTTCCACCAGCAGAGTTTGCTCTTCAGTCGTTCAGGTCAGGTACAGAAGGCAGGAAATAAACCCAACAAGAACTGATGTTTGCTGGAGGAACAGAATCGGTTTAAGATTTGTCTTGAATAAAAGGACATTCCCACTGTTTCATGATGTCTTTGGAGGCTCCTGATTAGAATGGCTCTAAATGGTTTAATGTAATGAACATAAAACTAAACATCAATAGGAGCTACTAACAAAAGTACTTAGATGAGATGGACTGTTTGGAAAATATAAATATTTTGAATTTTGACTAACTTTCAGTACTTTTTACTTTCTCTTTTGGTATATTTATGTGTACTGTTAACCAGTTCCACACAATATACTGACCTAGAAAATTTTTAGGCGAGGCTATTAGTCTCATTTCAGTGACACAGAAACTGGTGTCTCTTTATTATTTCTCCTGCACAACACACGCACAGGTTTGTATGTCTTATTAGGACCGTGTATTGACTTCCATTCATTTCTGTAGACTAACTCACCAATGATGTTCTATTATATTAGTTCAAATCAGTCAATAAACATAAAACATTCATGCTAGGCAAGACATAAAAACATTAAAATACCAGTACAAATAAAAAATCACCAATGTTCATTAAAAAGTCTGATTGCTGCAGGATAACTGGGTTTTTTAGTCTGTTGGTCCTACATCTGGGCATGAGACCTGCATCTAGACAGAACTCACCATGGAGAGGGGGATTGGGATTTGCCTGAATCAGTCAGGTCTTTTTCACTGACCTGACCTTGTGTAGGTCACTGAGGTTCAGGTCTCCAAAATGACTAATGGTTCTGACAAGGTGGATTATACCAGAAAAGGTAACAAAAGCCAGGCACACACACCACAAAATGTGAGTGAGGCATGAAAAGTTCAAGAACCACTGGTCTCATATTATATAATTTGTCAATGAGTTGGACCAGAAGGGTTAATTCTCAACCAGAACCTGACCAACGTTCACAGATCCAAAAACTGAAACAAGCTCAGCTGGATGTTATGAAAGACATTTCCACTTTGATATAAAAACATTTAAAAAAACTAATAAACACATGATTTTGATATACTTTCCTAAAAATATTGACCTATTTGATCGTTGTGACAATGTAACTAAAAATAATGGCTCAGTATTCAGGTAAAATGTTTGAGAAGCTGTTCTAATTTACAAATAATGATGAGACACTCAAAATAGTGGATCACATCATTTTGAGATCCTAACTCTAATGGAGAGCCCAGACACCATGTGGAGGAAACTCATTTCAGCCGCGATCTCATTCTTTTGGTCACTTCCCAAAGCTCGTGACCATAGATGAGGGTAGGAACATTGACTGGTAAATCAAGAGCTTTGCCTTCTGGATCAGCACTCGCTTCACCGCGACAGACCGATACAGCGCCCGCATCACTGCAGATGCAGCACCAATCCGCCAGTCGATCTCCCGCTCCATTTTCCCCTCATTCGTGAACAAGACCCAGAGATACTTAAACTCCACCACTTGGGGCAGGACCTCCTCCCCTACCCAGAGGAGGCACCTTACCGGTTTCTGGCTCAAGACCATGGTCTCAGATTTGGAGGCACTGATCCTCATCCCGGTCGCTTCACACTCGACTGCGAACCGCTCCAGCGACAGCTGCAGATCTCGTTCCGATGAAGCCAACAGGACCACATCATCCGCAAAAAGCAGAGATGCCATCCTACAGCCACCAAAAAGGATCCCCTCAACACCTTGGCTGCACCTAGAAATTCTGTCCATAAAAGTTAAGAACAGAATCGGTGACAAAGGGCAACTTTGGCGAAGTCCAACTCTCACTGGAAATGAGTCCAACTTACTATCGGCAATGCGGACCAAGCTCTGGCACCGGTCAGACAGGGCCCTAACAGCCCATATCAATGAGGCTGGTACCCCATACTCCCAGAGTACCCCCCACAGGAATCCCTGAGGGACACGTTCGAACGCCTTCTCCAAGTCCACAAAACACATGTAGACTGGTTGAGCGAACTCCCATGCACCCTCCAGGACCCTGCTGAGGGTGTAGAGCTGGTCCGCTATTCCACGACCAGGACGAAAACCAAACTGCTCTTCCTCAATCTGAGATTCGACTATCCAACGAACCCTCCTCTCCAGAACCCCCGAATAGACCTTACCAGGGAGGCTTAGAATTGTGATCCCCCTATAGTTGGAACACACTCTGCGGTCCCCCTTTTTAAATATGGGGACCACCACCCCGGTCTGCCAATCCAGGACAACTGCTCCTGTTGTCCACGCAATATTGTAGAGTCGTGTCAACCAACGCAACCCCACAACATCCAAAGCCTTAAGGAACTCCGGGAGAATCTCATCCACCCCCAGCGCCTTGCCACCGAGGAGCTTTTTAACCACCTCAGTGACCTCAGCAACAAAGACTGGAGAGTCCAACCCAGGCTCCTCAGGCTCTGCTTCCTCATGCGAAGACATGTCGGTAGAATTGAGGAGGTCTTCGAAGTATTCTACCCACCGACCCACAACGTCCCGAGTTGAGGTCAGCAGCGCACCATCCCCACCATAAATAGTGTTGGTGGCGAACCGCTTTTCCCCCTGAGACGCCGGATGGTGGACCAGAATCGCCTCGAGGCCGTTTGTAAGTCTTTTTCCGTGGCCTCTCCGAACTCCTCCCATGCCCGAGTTATTGCCTCAGCGACCACCCGAGCCACAGTCCGCTTGAACTGCCGATACCTATCGGCTGCTTCCARAGTCCCACAGGCCAAAAACACCAGATAGGACTCCTTCTTCAGCCTGGCAGCATCCCTCACTGCTGGTGTCCACCAGCGGGTTCGAGGGTTGCCGCCAATTCAAGTGAAACATATGAGAAAGTGTTTGAATTTACAAAAATGTATTGGTATCTATTAAAGATGAGATACTTTCTCAAAAAAAGGACTTCAAAGTAGTAAGTATCTGATCATTATGTGACATCTCAAAATTATGATATAGTATTTAAAAAACACTTATAAATTATTTTATATTTATGATATCCTAAAAATCTGTCTTTGAATTGCATTATCTTATCAGATTTGTTTGTTTGATTAATTTCAAACAAGTTATCTACAATCATTTTATTTTAAGTGAAAAAGAGAGAAAAGAAAATATAAAGAACCTAAAATTGTATCACTTTTTGTGTAGCTCACATAGTAATCATGATTATGAAATACATGTATTGCAGGAAAAATACTGTATCACACGTTAATAATGTGTGTTAACATTGTGAAATAGAAATGGCTATGAGATACTGCCTTTAAATAATGACTTATGAGATAATATCTTATAATTATAATAAATTATGTCATTAGTTTGATGTATTAGTTATATATTTTTAGAACATAACTGTACAATTTGGCTTCTGTACAGTTTTACAGCCAGCAGAGAATTCTGCATTACAACACTTCACTTCCCATCAGGCCTTGCGTTCAGCGCTGCTGGCGCTCTGCTTCCCATGTATGGAGTGTTACATCATCGGCTCAGCCTCCCACCTTCCCGAGTGATGACGCAGCCCGTGGAGAGAGTGTGAGGAGGAGGAGGAGGAGGAGGAAGGCAGGGTAGAAGAGAGAGGAGAGGGTGTCCCGTCTGCGCGGAGCTCAGACAGACAGCAGGGAACAGCTGCAGCCCCGAGCCCACTCCGAATATCCGCCGTTTCATCCACGGTTCAATTAAAAACAAAAAGACAAAACAGCACCAGGCGCGTGGAGCAGCTCGAGCAACCGAACATCAGCTGAGAGACATCACCTGAGGAAGATCACCTGAGAAACATCATGGTCGACCGCGAGCAGCTGGTGCAGAAAGCCAGGCTGGCCGAGCAGGCTGAGAGATATGACGACATGGCAGCTGCAATGAAGTCGGTGAGTGGACACAGCCCAGATTTTAATCTGAGAAATTTGCTGTGGTGGGCTGCAAATCTGACTTTAACCGCAGAAGAAGAAGCGCGGGTTTGACATAATATTTAATGCCTTTATTGGGTTGCAGTGCCAGCTCAGACCACCCTCCTCCTCCTCCTTTTTTTTTAAACAAGCCAAGCCGGGTTCTGGTGCTGTTTGGGCGGTGCCTTTCTGTCGCCTCCACCAAAGGTTATTACAATGAAACCAGGCCTGAGCTGAGGAAGAGCATCTTCTGATTCATTTCTATTATTTCTCCTCCTCTTCCTCCTTTCTGCTGAATTATAGGAGCCTCCCTGCTGATGGAAGCCATGTGAAAAATGCCTCCTCCTCCTTTTCTCTTTGTCACATCAATTATAAAGATAATTCAGATTCTTTGAATAAGGAGGGGGTTTTTTCAGAGCATGATGCTCCTCCCTTTAAACAAATGTAGGAGGCAGCAGAACCGCTCCAGAATATTCTTTGTCATATTGCAGTGATTCGGTGTGATCAGATTCCTGCCATCCTCTCTTCCTTTTATTTAATAATTAATTCATTAATTTTTTTTATTAACAGCCACAGTTAGACGGTTTGATGCTTAGAGGATGACATTAGCTTGGTGAGGACCGAGCCTTTTGTCTGCCACCCCCTCCCCACCTCTCTCCTGCTTTAAGGGCATTCTTGGACTGGATTCACCCAAAAACTGCTGTGTCACATCAGCGCCCATGTTTCTGTGGAGCCGGGCCTTTGTAGCTCACGCATCCAGATTAAACCATAAAGGAGGGACATTTTGTTTTATGTTCCTCAGGAGCGATGGAGCCCCACCCCCCCACATAGTGGATCATTTTGTCACAGGAGGGGTTTCTGGTTGCAGGGAGGTGGGCCGGTGCTCGAGCAGGGAAGGATTCCTTTTCCCTTTAAACAGTCTGCCATGTCAGTGCGGTCCAAACTGGGCCTTTTATATAATTTTTTTCGTTTTTTTTTAAGCAGGGGTGTATATGCTCACTCTTTAATCAAAGGGAATCCCTTTGACTTCCAGCTGGAGACAGACTGATTATTAAACTGATTACAAGGCAGGAAAATGAATGACATTCTTGTAAGTTTAACTTAAGCAGTTCTATTTTGTTAAATGATAATTAAAAGGTAGGCACTGGCCAATGGATGCCTGGATTTCTGAAGGTCACAATTGGCCATAAAGAAAGAAAGAAAAAAAAATCCTGAACTGAAATGACAAACGAGAGGCCGTCATCTCTGTGTTCCTCATGAAACATGTATGTGGAGATGCCGCTGCTGCATTTGATGAATATTAATAATAGAAACGCTCATGAGTAGTTACTTTAAAACCACAGGGACGCATTGACCAAAACCCTCAAAAAGACTCAGGAAGGACTTCCTGCTTCTTCCAAACGTGAGGTTGAGCTACATCTCCTGGTTGTGACGTCACCAGGTGCCGCCTTTACCCTCGTCTCATTACCTTTTCTGTCTTGGTGGAAGGGTTATACGCCAAAAAAAGAAGAAAAAAGTCAAACAAAACCTTAATATCATCCTTTTGCTAAGGCTCGTCCCTATCTAAATTTACCAGCCGGAGTCAGAGTGATGTCACGGCGTGGAGCTTTAAAAAGGTAAAAAGGTCACCCGGAGCCAGAGAGAAGGTCAGTGGGACACGTGAACCTTTTCGATGCGGTGATGGTTTTCACTTACACCGCAGCTGCCCCTCTGAGCGCTCGTGTGAACAGCCCCCCTCCCCTCGCTATCTCTGCTGCCAACGACTGTCTTGAATATCATTTCTCGCTAACTGGCATTAGCTGCACACGTTGCAGCTGGAGCTACTAGTGCGCTGAATGAATAGATTGCCATGGAAACTGGGATTCGCACATGGCGGGTGAATTATTGCTCGTACTCTCATTGCCGTGCTGGCGCTCTAAGTCATTATCTGATTTTTTTTTTGTGTGTAGATTAGGTTCGTTTAGCTGCAAGAAGAGTCAAAAAGTGAGTGTGCATTCTCCTTTTTTTCCCCCCCTCCAGGTGACGGAGCTGAACGAGGCCCTGTCCAACGAGGAGAGGAACCTCCTGTCCGTGGCCTACAAGAACGTGGTGGGCGCCCGCCGCTCCTCCTGGCGGGTGATCTCCAGCATCGAGCAGAAGACCTCCGCCGACGGCAACGAGAAGAAGATCGAGATGGTGAGGGCCTACCGGGAGAAGATCGAGAAGGAGCTGGAGGCCGTGTGCCAGGACGTGCTCAACCTCCTGGACAACTTCCTGATCAAGAACTGCAGCGACACGCAGCACGAGAGCAAGGTGTTCTACCTGAAGATGAAGGGCGACTACTACCGCTACCTGGCCGAGGTGGCCACGGGGGAGAAGAGGGCCACGGTGGTGGAGTCGTCGGAGAAGGCCTACAACGAGGCGCACGAGATCAGCAAGGAGCACATGCAGCCCACCCACCCCATCCGCCTGGGCCTGGCGCTCAACTACTCCGTGTTTTACTACGAGATCCAGAACGCCCCCGAGCAGGCCTGCCACCTGGCCAAGACCGCCTTTGATGACGCCATCGCCGAGCTCGACACCCTCAACGAGGACTCCTACAAAGACTCCACTCTCATCATGCAGCTGCTGCGAGACAACTTGACACTGTGGACAAGTGACCAGCAGGACGACGAGGGCGGGGAGGGCAACAATTAAAGTCAAAGAGAGAGAGAGGGTTTGAAAAAAAATAAAACAAAAAAATGCGCGTTTTAAAAAGAAAAAAGTAATTACGAAGGGCCGGTGGACTTTGGCAGCCGCTTTTGCCGACGATACTACCGCAGCAGCAGTTCTTTATTTTTCCATGTGTTAAAAGAAAAGAATCGAAAGAGAGGTGGGAGTGGAGGTTAAATCTTAGTTTAAATATATATAGAAATATATATATACGGTTGAAAAAGGGGGGAGGGGCCTCTGTTTTCTTGATTTTCTCTTTGACATTTGCCAAAACCACTCAATCAGCCTGAAGTGGTGGTTGTTGGATTGAAAGGGCAGCCTCACACTGGCATTGAAACTGATCTTGTTCTGTCAAGATAAAAGCTGCTTACTTAGGTTTTTTGCGTGATAGAGCTGCATTTGAGTCACTTGAGAGAAAGAGAGAGAGAGAGAGAAAACACTTGAACGGGAATGCCTCACAAAAATCATTTGCGTCGGTTCCGATAATAAAAAGAAGAAAGCCGCGGCGAGTTAAAAAAAAGGTAAAAATTTCCCAAAATTTTAGAGGATAAATTAAACCAAAGTTAGAATTCGGAGTAGAATAACAAAATTGATTCCCGTAAAATATTGCAGGTAAACTGTTACGTCACTGGAACCATTGATTTGTTTGGAAGTAAAGATTATTAAAGGCAGAGACTTAATAAAAAGGAAAATTCAAAAAAAAAATCATTAAAAGCAGCTTCAGAGTTTGTGGTTTACTTATGTGTTTGTTTTATTAAATGCACTTGCCTACTATACTGTTTCTTCAGTGTAAGATGACGACAATAATATTGCTTATTCAATATTGTGCATGCTGGTGATGTATTTATATACAGTAGCTTGACTTTATTAACTTATACTGTGGGTGTTAAGTATTCATATGATTGAGAAAAAAAACAAAACAGGTTTCGTCTGATGTTGATTTCAAATTTACTTACTTTTTTTGTTATGTTTTTTTGATTTGCTTATACCAAAATGGTGATCGTAAAAATTGACCTGTAATGGGCGTTGCTTTAGTGACATGCAATATGTGTATTTAATTTGTTATTAAAAGACAAAAAAGAAAAAAAGAATAACCCACCAGTCCTTACTTAATCTTACCAGCTGGTGTTTTGTCACATTGAAGTATATGTTTTGTTCTTTGAACAGTATTTTTTTTGTTTTTATTTTTTCCTGTCATGCTATCGCGTTTTAACAATGGTGACGTGTCCAGGCTCAATGTTTCTGTTATGAATTCACATACATGGACCATATTTGATTTCAGACCGTATAAATGATTATTTTTGTTTTTATACCTTTTAGCTGTTCCTGAGTGACAAAATATCTTGAATGTGAGTCATTATGTAGCAGTTGCACAAGAACCGGAATAATAGCTATGATAATAAAAAAGAATATGACTAAATTATACATGCACCATGTCCGTGGTGGTCCAGTGTATTGTTGTATTGTCACCCATGAGTGTACTTCGCTTTTAGGAAACCACTTCATTGAACGGTTATTTTTTTATTTTTTTCATGTTTTGTGTGTGTGTTTTTGCCCGGAGTACAAGTGTGCTTCCTGTTTGTGAGCCTCATTTGCAAGTTAATCTTTAACGGGAAGAAAAAAAAACAGTATTTTAGCTTCCTGAAAGCATGTAAGAGAACTTCCCTTCACTTGCTGTTGTGTTTGCACACAAATACGCACAGATTCACAGGGAAAACAGAACAAACGGCACAAAAAGCTGCTGAACAGATGAATTATCGCAATGCTGCTATTCGTCTATAGATTATCATATGTATGGCGGTTCTATTTATTTTTTTGTTTTATTTCGGATTTGATGGCTCGGGAAGGGAAACCAAAAGCCTTAAGGTCGCTCACACAACCTTGCTCATGTATGCCAATTATGTCACCATCATGAGTCAGCCTCCATGAGCTCACAGTATGTCACAGCTGCTTTCGTTTATTTTTAACTTCGCCAAGGTCTCCGAGGTTCACGAGACGAGCGGCAGGGAAAACTTGTGCTCAAACAGCCCGTAAAAACACTTAATTTTCACTTTTTTCGTGTTAATTGAGTTGAGATTTTATCTTTTTTTTGCTTGAATGTTTTTTTTTCACATCAGGAGGCTTGCACTCCCCGCCGCTCATTAAAAACAAAAGTGTAATGAAATTTGTTCAACCTTTGTGTTTTCTGTTTAAGTTCTCATTATTTTGGGTATTATTGTTTCTGTGACGCAGCAACTTGCAAGTACAAGTCATGAGGTTAATATAACAGACAGCTGAATTTGAACAAAGAAGAGGAAAGGAGCTGAGTGGGGAGATTAGCAGGAAACAAACTGTATGCCCTGAGGAATTTCTTTCGTTGCCATCTGTTGTCCATTAAAGTCATTTGCCTTTTGGTAATATTCTATATATTCATTTCCGTCTGTGATGTTGCATCAACATGCCTCCTCAGTTTGCAGGTTTGAAAGTCGGTCTAAGTGTGGGTCACCTGTGCGTAAAAAATCAATATTTAAAAAACAAAACAATATATCGATTATCTTTCTTTTAATATTGATACCACCTCCAACCCTTAGGTGGCAGTATAATGATGCTTGACTCCTGTTTAGAGTGAGGAACGCTGCATGTGAGATTGATGAGCAAGCGAAAAATGGCCGTCATCTTTAAAAGGATCTCTGATTAGTTGTAACATTTGACTTTATTTAATAAACATATATTTTAATTGTAAAATAGAGACTGTAAAAAATACTGTAGGCTGTTTAGTTTTGTAAATATATATATATATATATTAACACAGAAGGAGCTGCTTTATTT